AAAGCCTGGTGGAAGAGCTCCGTCTTGCAGGCCCTGCGGAACTGCATCAGATCCCGCAGGGCCCGGATCTCTTCCGGGAGCTCATTCCACCAGGTAGGGGCCGCCACCGAGAAGGCCCTAGCCCTCGTAGCGACCAGTTTTGCATCTCTGGGGCCCGGAATAGTTAACAAGTTTTGGGCCCCAGACCATGTGCCCTTCAGCAAGTAGGACAATCGGTACCAAAGGTCAGCCTCCCCTTCCTGAGCTAATAAGGACATTTCTCAAGCTTTGGCACAGTCTAGCCTCCGTTGATCCACTGTTCCAAAACTGTCTGGGACATGCCCAGTGTACCGGGAGAGAACGGACATCTATCAAGGCAATTAAAGCACCCACTCACAGAGGGGACTGCCTGCCGCGTCAATGCATGGAGTCACTGTTCAGGCTCGCCTCCTTCCAATCAGGAGAACGGTGGGACTGTCTGCCTCGTTTCTGCATTGAGAGTGACTGGTGCATTTGATAGGGAGAGGTGGCAGGGTTCTGTGCCCTCAAAGGAGGCTGCCTGTGGTGTCTCTGCATGAATCGGTGTGCCGGGCTTGCTCCGCAAGTAGTGGCAGGAGTATTTCTTTCTCTTTTTTTGCAAAAGAGGGTAAATCTCATGCTCACTGAAATCAAACATTTCTCAGGCGCAAGAGTTAAGTATACCCTCCAGTGTTAAATCCAAAAAACCACGTCCTTCAGGTTATCAATAGTTCAGGAAGCAATGGTGCAAAACTCTGCACTGATAGATCTAAGTCATGGGTCCAACGAAACCTTGATTCTTGGATGACAGCAAAGAGACTTAACTGCTACTTGCAGACAGGAACATTTACAACTGGTAAGCAATGATCCCTCTGAGCTGTTGAGTCTTGTGACCCAAAATTCGACTTTGTGAACCACTGGCATTAAAGTTGTGAGTACGTGATTTGGCCACTGCATAAATTAATTTGCTCTGGAGCCATCCTTCCTGAGCTAAGACAAAAAAATCTGTGAGCTGGAGGCTAAAAAATTGGGAGCTAGCTCACACTAACTCAGCTTAGAGGGAACACTGCTGGTAAGATACTGACTTCAGCAAGGCCCAGTTTGTTCCTGGTCTCAATGCAAAGTGCTGGTGATGATCTTTAAAGCCCTAAATTAATTAGGAGGAAAGTACTTGGAAAGACGGCCATGGCCCATAGGGACCTCCCAGGGCTTGAGGTCAACCGGTGGGGCTTTCCTCTCCAAGTGAATTTCATTCATTGTTATTGCTAGGGGGGGTTTATTTAGTTTCAGACAGCATCATTTGACGGTTCCTGTATTCCAACTGGTAGCAATGACCGGTAGCTGCCTGGAATGTGTTTTAAGAAGAGAAGAAGAGAAGAGATTGGATTTATGCCCCGCCCTTCACTACCCAAAGGTGTCTCAGAGCGGCTGACAAACTCCTTTCCCTTCCCCTCCCCACAACAGGCACCCTGTGAGGTAAAAGAAGAAGAAGAAGAGATTGGATTTATACCCCGCCCTTCACTGCCCAAAGGTGTCTCAGAGCGGCTGACAAACTCCTTTCCCTTCCCCTCCCCACAACAGGCACCCTGTGAGGTAAAAGAAGAAGAAGAAGAGATTGGATTTATACCCCGCCCTTCACTGCCCAAAGGTGTCTCAGAGCGGCTGACAAACTCCTTTCCCTTCCCCTCCCCACAACAGACACCCTGGGAGGTGGGTGGGGCTGAGAGAGCTCTTGACAGAAACAGCTCTTTTTCAAGGACAGCTCTTGTCAGAGCTACGGCTTGCCCAAGGTCATCCAGCCAGGTGCAAGTGGAGGAGAGGGGAATCAAACCCAGTTCTCCCAGATTGGAGTCCGCGCACTTAACCACTACACCAAACTGGTCAAATGACAGGACAGGAGCAACCTAAAGACCCAGCGTCTGTGCAAAGCGTCTGTGCAAACCTAAAGCGTCTGTGCATGACAGGACAGGAGCAACCTAAAGACCCAGAAGGCGTCTGTGCCAACCACCGGCTGCCGATTTACTTTGGAACATCTTTTGAGGAAAGGGCCAGCATTTCCACTGCAACTGCGACAGCGTGTGTGACAATCGGAGGCAAAACGATTCTTTCCCCAAGTGGAGATGCAGACGTTGAGAAGTGGGTGGCGAGAACAAAGAAACCAGGTTCACTTACGTTGCTGGCTAAGGCATCCTGCAATTTCGTGACAGGGTTGGTGGCAGCGCTGGAGGCTGAGCCAGAGGGCAGGCTGAAGTCGGAGTCCTGCAAAGAGGCAACTGAATTCAAGCAGGCCGCTGACATTCTACTGCCATGTTTTAGCAGGGCCAAGACACAGAGCTTACGTTGGGACTAAGGCATACAGCAGGAGAACTGTCAGTGGCCATGGAAAGCTTCACCTCCTACCCCAATGGTGCAATCTTTTCGCTTCTTCCCTTACAAACGAATGGGTCTCCTGCTAGAAACGCCAGGTAAAGAGCAGAACCTGCCCTCCACCCTGGAAGCACTCTGCAGGAGGACACCACGCGTTTCCCAAATATGTAGGGAGCCCAGAGACTTACTGCCCCCCACTCAAGCCCTCCCTGCTCACATCATGACAAGAGGCACGACATCAGCCCGAATCAAAGGGGACAACGGTGTCGCCCAAGCTGAAGGTCTCGGGTTCAAGTGGAGCTGGAAGAGAGCTTGGAGAGCCACAGGTGGCCAAAAGAGATCATCCTGGGCGATATGGACTGATAATCTAATTCACGACAAGGCAGCGGGTGTGACCTCTGAACATTTCAGAACACAGTGATGATTCAAAGTAAAGAGGAAGAAATAGAAAGCGGCTGGTGCATCAAGTATGGGTCTCTCGGCCACGGCTCTGTGGGGAAACACACACTTTGCAGGCTGGGGGTTCGGTCCCCGCCACGTCCTTTTAAGAGAGCTGAGGCTGGGAGAATGAGTCTCTCTCCAAAGCAGCAAAGAGCTGCTGCCAGTGTGAGCAGACAATCCTCCTGGGTTAGATGGAACATTGGCCTGGCATTTTGTATCTATGCTCATTGACTACAGTCGCAAAGCAGCATCTTGTATCTACACTCGTTTACTACAGTCGCAAGACTCAACACACTGTACACTGGGCCAAAATACAGCCACAAAAAACAGCAGAATCACATGACTCTGAAATTATGGGCTGGGTTTTTTTTCCAAATTCACCCAAGGCTACACACTCGTTAGGTGAGAACTGTGCAATGGCAGTTATCTTAAGCAGCGAGAAAGTCGCTTTTGGATGCCACGTGTCGGGCCAGGTCTACCTTTGCAGCACATAATAACAGAAACACCGGCCCAGTCCAATTTCTGTGGCTTTTTACCGCCCTTTGTGGCAAGGCTACTGTAACACAGGACAAGGCTACTGTAGCACAGGACAGGTCTAGCTTTTTGGGGGGGGGGAATCCTCTGTATGAATCACTGGGGGCTCCCAAAGGGCATTCCACTATACGTAGAAGGCTCAAATCCATGGGCCTGGGGTCTGCGCTTCAGAAGGAAATTCCCACGTGGCTCCCTCTACAAGGCAGAACAGAGCTGCAAGTCCCCCGGCACACCTTTAAGCCCAACAAAGTTTTATTCTGGGTATCAGATTTCGTGTGCATGCCCACTTAAAGGTGCCACTGGGTCGCAGACTTTGCTTTGCCTGCTTCAGACCAACACGGCTATCCCACCTGAATCTATCTGAGGCTGTCGCAGTTAGACATCACCAATGTGGGGCAGTAAGGAGGGCTACCTTTTTTGGCCATAGGCTGTAGAAAGGCGTAATCCTTTAGGAGGAAAGAAGGCGCTCAGGTGCTCAGGACAAGGAGCATCCGATGCCACAGCCATGGTGTGAACCAATGTTCCCTCTAAGCTGTGGAGTCTTGTGAGCAAAAATTCCGCTTTGTGAGCGACTGGCATCAAAGTTGTGAGCGAGCGACTTGGCTACTGCATAAATTAGGCTACTCTGGAGCCCATCCTTCCTGAGCTAAGGCAAAAATGGGTGAGCCCGGAGGCTCAAAAACTGTGAGCTGGCTCACACTAACTCAGCTTAGAGGGAACACTGGTGTGAACACAGTAGCCACCGGGCGGTTGCGTTTTGCAAAATGGATAGCCAGGCCTTCAATTCCTCCTTGTTGCAGATAACGGCACTTCACACGTTTGTCAAAACATCAGCCAGACAATCAGATATACAGAAATCCCACTTGTCGCTCAAACAGCCAAACACTCCCAGGCCTTTTGGGACAACGAAAGATCCTGCCGATTCTTCCTCTAAACCCTTACCCAAAAAATAATAATCAAGAATGTGGTTTGTGTCAGGAATGAAAATCTAGAAGGCAACTGTATTTGAGCAAGCCAAAGGCTTCCTTCTGAATTTGGCCTAGTCAACTTTGCCCCTCCCTAAAAACTCGTGAAAGCGAGAGAAGACACAGACAGCAAGAGATTGTAAGATCCCCTCCCTTCCGCCCCCCACCCCCCCAAATAAGAAACAAATTAAATCCTCACTTTAGGATTTACTCCGAATTCAATGGGTGGCACGGGGAGAACAGAGTCCACATGGATCTCCACCCCATTTACTGGGGGGATGGTGCCTTCCAGGCGTTCCGCTCCCTCCGAACCCTTCCTGTTTTTCAAGGAGCGCTCGTTGCCGATTGGTCCAGGCTTGTGATCCTTGCTCTGACTCGAGCCTTGGTCTGAATCCTTAACAGGAGAACAGAGGGGGGGGGGGGGGGGGGGGAGAGGCTACGGATCAACACGAACCCCCCACACCCCCGGTTACAAAAACAAGCAACTGAAATGAGCAGGCAACCCGGCCCCCACCCACCTTAAATGCATCCAAAAGAAAACAAAGGACATTTTGCAGGCTGCCTGGCAATTAAAGAAGAAGAAGAGGAGGAGGAGATTGGATTTATACCCCGCCCTTCACAGCCCAAAGGTGTCTCAGAGCGGCTTACAAACTCCTTTCCCTTCCCCTCCCCACAACAGACACCCTGTGAGGTAGGTGGGGCTGAGAGAGCTCTTGACAGAAACTGCTCTTTTTCAAGGACAGCTCTGACAGAACTACAGCTTGCCCAAGGTCATCCAGCGGCTGCAAGTGGAGGAGTGGGGAATCAAACCCGGTTCTCCCAAATTAGAGTCCACGCACTTCACCACGACACCAAACTGGCTGGCAGAGATAAACAATCCAGATAAACTGGATGGCACAGATAAACGATTGGCAGAGGATGACTTGAGGTTTCAGAAGATGTTCAATAAAGTTGCCCGGGGGGGAGGGGGTGACGGGAGGGAGGAGGGCCAGAGGCCCGGGTGTTACCAGGTCCTCTCCCCTTCCCTGCCCTCCTGACTTTGCACTACTCATGGAAGCAAAGGGACACTGGTGGAAAGGGTTCCATCCATACCACCATGATCGCTGGCACACCCTTGACATCTGGGAATGCAAAGGGGGTAAAGGCCTGAGCTATCTGGGCTCTTTTCAGACCTCTCTGTCCCAAGTGCCAAAATGGGTTTTGATTTACTCTCCTGAAGCTAGCAACCAGATCCAGACTCGTTCTAACACTGGCTACCAATCAACTCCAATTCAACGAATTCAAGGTGTTTTGACCTTTAAAGCCCTACAGGGCTAGGGACTGGGGTATCTGAAGGACCCTCTTCTCCCGTAATGTTCCTACCCAGACATTAAGATCACAGACAAGAGGCTGTCCTGACCGCCCTATCAATCAAAGAAGCTCATTTGGTGGGTACACGACACAGGGCCTTTTCAGTGGCAGCGCCACAATTATGGAACTACCTCCTGGGGGAGGTGCGCCTGGCCCCTCACTTTCAGTCTTTAGGAGGCAAGTGAAGATGGCTTTATTTAGGACCACATTTGGTTAAGTTTACTAGCAGTCCTGAGTTGTGCTTTTAAATCCCCCCCCCCCGGTTTCAATGCATTCTGTTTTATGTGTTTTAGCTGTGCTGTAAGCCATCTTGAACTCCGCGAGGAAGAAAGGTGGCTGGACAAAGAGTTCAAATAAGTAATAAATCAATGTATCGATAATTAATAAAGCAATTATTATTAATAAATCGACGAATAATCCCAAGGCTTCTGGTTGCCGGCGACTACAGACCCGGGTTACCTTTTTCTCCGACTGCTTTGGGACTTGCTCTTTCGGGCAGTCGGGCTTGGAGTCCACCAGGCCAGCTCCGCCCATCTCTTCGGGTTTGAGAGTGCCATACGGAGAGCTGCGCTGGGAGGAAGTGGCGGAGGATTCCCGCGACTCCGCGCTCAAGTCAATTCCACTATCTCCCTGGCTGCCTTTAAATCCCTGCTATGCAAAGCACGAGAAGCGTTAGGCCCAAGCTGTGGAATCGGCGCCACCCCAAGCACGAGAGAACACGCCCACCACTACCCCCTCGACTGCCCAAAGCGAGGGACGCGGGAGTGCTGCCGGAAAGAGAGCAAGCCCCCTCACCAAGTCATCCCCTTCCCCCATAACCAGCTGCGGCTACGCTGAGTGTATCCCGTCAGTGGCAACCCACAACACGTAGCAGGACAGGAGAAACACACGGGAGGACGACATCTAGACGTCACCTAACTCTTATTACACGTTACGGAGGAGATGGACAGGGCCCCGCCGCAGGGCTCTTTTTGTAGAAGGAACTCCTTTGCATATTAGGCCACACCCCCTAATGTAGCCAATCCTCCAGGAGCTTACAGAGCTCTTCTTACAGGAGCTACTGTAAGCTCTTGGATGATTGGCTACATTAGGGGTGTGTCGCTTAATATGCAAAGGAGTTCCTGGGTGACTCACGGCTGCCGTTCTCTCGGCAAGCTGCTGCCCGATGAGAAACCTCTGCCCCGTCGTACACTGATCCTGCCAACAGCTTTAGCTCTAGAAAGGCGGCGGTCTTCATTAGCACAAGCCAAGCTTCTGACTGCTTTTGACTGGTCTCTAGCAAGGATACCTTCTCAGCCTTCCGGTGCACAGCTCTCCCCATCCTCCGGCACCAAAACCAGAATGCCAGCCAGCGAAACAACTGGGAGGACCAGGGCCCTCTTCTCATTGCTCGAGGGGAGGGGGCCCTTACAGCCGGAATGGGCTAAGGCCAATACATGACTTAGCAGGCGTTTGAAGATCAGAGAACTCTTGCATGTCCTAGGGCAGTGATGGCGAACCTTTTAGAGACCGCGTGCCCAAACTGCGACCCAAAACCCAGAGGTCATTTCGGGGGGGATCGCAGTTTCCCCGGGTGAAGTACGGGGGGCGGGGCACATGACGAAGCCCCGCCCCCTGCTTCCGGCCGCCCCGCTTCCGGCCCTCATTCAGCCAGGAGGAGGCAGGAGAAGAGGGAGGGTAAGTTGCTTCCTCCCTGCCTCTCCCCACCCCTGCCTGCCTGGGGCCAGGGAGGGCCTTCGCGGGGCTTCCTTGCACTCCCGCTGGCCGGGACCGTTGGGGGCGGGGTGTGTGGCCTTATGACACACTTCCGGTAATGTCAGGGGGTGTGGCATATGCTAATGAGTTATGCTAATGAGTTCCCCTAGCTCTTCTTCTACGAAACGACCCCTGCCAAAACCCACTTATTTATCGCAAAGTGCCAACACGGCAATTTAACCCGAATACTGAGGTTTTACTTAAGAAAAAAACAACTCATACATTAACGTAAGATGATCCAAACAAAGTAAGGAAAGCAATCCCAAATGCTTTCATTGACTTTAAATTATTTGGCAGAGAATCCGACACTTTCACGATGGTCTGGGCCTGGCTGGGGCGATGGCACGCGTGCCCGCAGAGAGGGCTCTGAGTGCCACCTCTGGCACCCTAGGTTTGCCACCACTGTCCTAGAGTAAGAGTCTGACTGGAGGACCCTGGGATTCAGCCTCTAATGCCCTCGGGTGGCAACAGCAAAGTCAACACACAGCGCCAAGGGTCTGTAAGAAGAAAGCCGATGGTTCTCAAGTCTAGAGCTGAAATAAATTCAGCCCCAGGCATTCTCCGCAAAACTGCTCTGTGTGAAGTCCGGATGGCCAGAATTGACTAACCGTTCTGTAAACAGAACAAATTTAGAGTCCCGTGGCACCTCTGAGACCAACAAAGGTTTATTCAAGGGATGAGCGTTTGTGTGCAAGGCACACTTTTTCAAATACACTGGAATGGGAGGCGGAGTTCAAACGTATAGACGGAGGCTGAACAGCAAGTCTCTGTTTACTTCCCACAATTAGAAAAGATCCCTTTGCACATTTATCTCCTATTTTGACATATTTATTGCTTGGCTGTCTTCCCCCCCCCCTTAATTAAACCAGAACAACTGCTGACCGTCTGACCTTAGCTTGTTAAGTTTTATCTTCGCATCTCTTAAAACATCTTCATGTTACATGTTATTTTGTCGCTCAGCCTCTTATCTAGAAGTTTGAACTCTACCTCCCATTCCAGGATATTTGACAAAGTGTGCATTGCACACAAAAGCTCATCCCTTGAATAAACCTTTGTTGGTCTTAAAAGGTGCCACGGGACTCTACGTTTATTCTACTGCTTCAGACCAACACGGCTGACCCATCTGGATCTATGTTCTGTAAACCAGAGGTCATTTTGGGGGGGATCGCGGGAGATCGCAGTTCCCCCCGGGTGAGGTGTGGGGGGCGGGGCACATGACGAAGCCACACCCCCTGCTTCTGGCCGCCCTGCTTCCAAGCCGCCCTGCTTTCGGCCCTCATTCAGCCAGGAGGAGGCAGGAGAAGAGGGAGGGTAAGTTGCTTCCTCCCTGCCTCTCCCCACCCTTGCCTGCCTGGGGCCAGGGAGGGCCTTCGCGGGGCTTCCTCGCACTCCCGCCGGCCTTGCAGGTCCACCGCCGGGCCCCTCATGGGGCTCGGCAGTGGAGCTGCAAGGCCGGTGGCGGCAGCCAGGACCGTTGGGGGCGGGGTGTGTGGCCTTATGACACACTTCCGGTGATGTCAGGGGGTGTGGCATATGCTAATGAGTTATGCTAATGAGTTCCCCTAGCTCTTCTTCTACTAAACGACCCCTGCCCTACATCATCAGCTCAGTTGTTCCTCGCTGCTCCAGTTCTCTTGTGTTTTTCATAACTTCCCACTCAGGCACCCTAATGATAGCCCACGATGCTTTTCTTTTCATTTAGTCTTCTTTAGATCATGTGGAAA